AAACAGACACGGAGGAACAGATCGTGAGCTGCATGGTAAGACAGTGAACCCGTGAGACAGAGAGAGCCAGCAGGCCAGTGATCAGAGCAAGCCGCGGAAGACACAGACACAGACAATGAGCTGTGGGGGAGAGAGACAGCAAGCCAGTGAGACAGCGAGCCGCGAAGGAGACACTGTGAGACACCGAGGCAGAGAGACAGCTAGCCACGGATGAGACTGTAAGATAGTAATGCAGAGAGACGGCGAGCTGCGGGTAACACTGTGAGTTACTGAGACACACGCGACACCGTGGCATACTGAGACGCGAGTACAGAGTGAGGCGCCGAGGCACGAGTGAACCGCTCATAGTCGCCAGTCATTCTTCCACGGTTGGCTGAGACACCCTGCGCGACACGAGTCTGCCCTATTGACTCTAACAGTAAAGAACAGTCAATTACCACACGCGTGCATAGCAGAATCATTAGGAACACACAGAGTGGTAATAGGTACACACAATCACATGCGGAAAGCAACAACAACAGCAACAGCAGCAGCAGCAGTTGTAGTAGTAGCAGCAGCAGCAGCAGCAGCAGTAACAACAACAATAATAATAATAATAATAAACAGCAATAACAATTAACGACTACAGCATTAGCAACAATAGACGCTACTGCGGATTTTCGACGATAGCTAGGTCTACAAAGACAGCAGACAACCGGTGAACGCGATGAGATCAGCTGAACAGCATAGTAGCAATCCCCTGTGACGAGCACAATCTCTTCGTCAGACAAACATGGCGCCTACGGAAATCTTAAACTACTCACGACGAATGCGAAGAAATAAAATTCGTAAAACGCGGTGGCAATCTAGTCTTAAAATAGTCGGGTTTTATGTCGGGGATGTGTAAATAATTCCAACTGATGCATCTTGTCACGTATTTATGATCTGCGCGCGGAAATCTTTGCGTTGATTTCCGACGATAGTTATTGTTAGCACCGCTCCACGTAACTTCCAAACTAGCCTACGCTGTAAAACCTAGGCCTATTATTATCATTATTATTTCAGCTTCTCCTGTCGTGCCTTGCCCGAGTAAGTATAAGCTTACGGAGCTGAGCATAACGGCAGAAATTGTTAGTATTTTACATTAAGTTCTAATTTGCTGGTGCGCTGTCACAAACACCAATCCTTGTTTGACACTGGCTAGCATTCAATATCACTGATCTCTACAATACTAACGTTAGTATAATAGAGATCAGTGTTCAATATACGTTCGCTAACATCGGTCATTGTGTCCACTTGTATTATATAACCTGGTGATGTGAAATACAGCCAGGTTATTTGTGTGTATATATATATATACAATAACTAATAAGTGTATATTTATTACTACAATTGGTATATACATTAACCATAACTAATATAATAATCAGACAACGAGTCGTGATTGACATTGTTCTTGGCCATGGCCAGTATCCGCTTATCTTCATTGCTAGGGACGGAATCGCGTTGACCGTTCCATATATATCTGTATAATTGTAAATACAGCAGTAGAATCGGCCACGACGTCGATATCGTTAACTAATACTCTGATGTATAAATAATGTTTTAGGCTATTAGTGATGACCTGTACACGCACGGCAATCGTTAATTAATACTGGTATATAATAATGGCGTATCAATGATCTTTTTTTTGCTATTAGTGATCACGAGTACAGTACACGGCAGCTGCGCCATCTATTCAAGAATCGTTCCGTTATCGAATCTCTGTGGTATATATATCAGGAGTAGATAATAGGGAAACATATATATATTAACCTATATTAGGGCGATAGGGGTTCCCTATTATCTACTCCTGATATATATAGCGAAACTATTTATTATTGATTACAGTAGTATGCGCGCGTGAGATTTATCAACGCGTTGAACGCGTAGCGCCGGTGTCGCTTCAACATAGCACTGTAGTATATAAGCACGAAGTACGGCCGAATAGTGTTCGGCTAACTACAGCCCCTCACCAGGTCGCTCGCTCACCGCGTAGCTAGAGCTGTTGTAGTCGGTTTTGCGCTTTAGGTGGCGCCACTGAATGTCCCGCCACTAAATTTGTCTCGTGCGCGTCGCGTGCGCTTGCGAATGGGAGAACCGATAGAACCTTGGAACATATGGAACGCCGCGTCTGTGAATATGGTACTAGGGAGGTTCTGCAATATGCGACTCCATGACGCGTGTAGATATATAGTATTGCGTCATCGCGGTGGAGCCATGCATGTTGAAGGAGGAAAGGGGGCTGCCGATGTCAGGCTAACACGCTGCGCCACCTGCTGGTTAAATGGGCTCGTGTTCGTCCTCACACATGCGCAAGGCCCGGAACAGGTGTAGCGGCACTGCCTGTTGGGGGCGCGCTCTGATTCGCGGATCGGGTGGATGACGTGTAGATTGTTACATTGGCATCGTTTTCAAACGCAGTTCTGAGGTACTCGAGTTCAACGTACGAGTGAGAAAGAACGATGCGACGTATGTACACACGGAAGATCACTGTATAACATTGTCTAGCCAATTTTAAGCCATTTCATTCTCAGGATAAAGAGTTGTATATTAGAGAAACGAGGTGTGCGAGCGATGCGTGACTATTTTGCTGTCGTCCACAAACTGTTACCCATCATTCTTAACGAGTGGCGGCGTTGAGAAACACTTCTCCTTAATTAAGAGGCCGTAATTTAATTAACGTGTTAATTAATCATGGCTCCGAAGGACGTTCAAAGCATTTGTGAAAGAAAGAGCAACTCTAACTAATCAAAGTTTAAACTAATGCGTTTGAAGTATGTTAAGTGCGGTAAGATGATCATGGGGCAACCACACTGAATCATCGCGCTAACATTTGCTATCGTTTTCCAAATATGTACATAAAATATGGCCGAAACTACTTTACTGACAAAATATATACGCGCTCTGACAAATATCAGTTTCAGTTTGCATATAGCTGTGGCATCGCTCTAAAGTTAGATAATTGCTCTAACATTATGACTAGGACTCTAACTAGCGTTATGTCTTCGCCCTTATCATAACCTTACGTTATCAGTATTACTAGCAAACGTGGGTGAAGTTTATCAGTGGAAACTCGTGTGACTCGCGTTCTTTTCATTATGTATGAATGTCGTGTCAGAAAATGGCGCCTGGCAGCTAATATTAAATACATTACGCCCGTTCCAACACCGCGGAGAATTTGCAGCCGTTTATAAAGGAACCCACTCTGTCAATTCTATCGAGTCGACTAGGTGATTTTTTGAATGACGATTCGAAGTATAGTGTCACAGCTTGACTCGATAAATGAATGATATCATGTGTATCGTTTAATTGTGATAACAAATTGTTCTATCATTTCGTGTAAATTATTCGTTCTACGATTTTGTTTATTAGCTCCAATGATATCCTGTATCCTTGTTAATTAAAACAAAAGTTATATCAAAATGAAAATTTCCATCTTGAAGTGTTACGTTTTACCTTGCAGTTAAAATGGAGTTCAGTAGACGACGTGGCTCACCCCCACAGGTAATTAGCAATTAGCTATAATTGCAAATTGCAATTAGTTTAATTGCTCTGCTGGTAATCGGATGTACATCCATTAAAATGCTTACTTTTTTTCTCTAAAACAAAATAGCGGAACCATTTATCAAGCTGCAAAAGATTTTGACACTCACACGCACGCAGGCACTCACGCACGCAAAAAATACACACCCGCACACGCACGTAAAATACACACGCCCCGCACACGCGCGCACCATCACGCAAACGTTTAACACACAGAGACGTGTACAGACACGACTAGACAGTTCCTTTTATAGACTCTCTACAACGGGACTCGACTACACACGCTAATAATAAATCGATGCGAGTAAACCCACGTCTAACACAGCATAAAGACTTTTAATAAAAACGTGGAACATTTGGCACACGACACGTGGAAAACATCGCGTTATCCCATGCACGAGAAACGCACCCAACAAGTGCAGTAGTTCAGACCATCCGAGGCCGTGTGTACTACTTATAAGGTTACGGACTGCCTGCTATGTGTTGCTGAAGATACAAAGGTGCTAACACCAGTGATTACGTGTCCACTGAACATCGTGTTTTGAAATCTTTCCGTAACATTTCTCCAACTTGCACGAGCAAGCTTAGATGGTTACGTTACGGTGCAGGCAGTGTCGTGACTGATTGTGTCGTTACGCGACAGCTCAGGTAAATACGTGTAAGCTCAGGTAGTTGCATGACAATGGAATGCAGACAGTTACGTGACAGATCAGGTCGTTGCATGACAATGCAGGTAGTTGCGTTACAAATCAGGTAGTTATGTCACAGCTCAGGCAGTTGCATGATAACGCATGTAGTTACATGAGAGGCAGATAATTACGTTACAGATCAGGTAGTTACGTGAAAACTCAGGTAGTTGCATGAAAGCTCTGTTAGTTACGTGACATATCAAGTTGTTGCATGACAACCCAGGTAGTTAGTTACATGACATATCAGCGTATGTGCGCGTGTGTGCGAATGTGTGTGCGTGTGTGAGAGGTATACTCGCTCGCCGCTGTTCTCTGCGTCCGGTGACGCTATTAAATGTAATTAAATAACGAATTACGTTTGTAATCATTTCCTGTTGGTTTGACTCGATGGGGAAAGTTCAGCACGCGTAACGAATGACTCGTGCTAATAGGACGTTATCGTAACATTGTCGTGTCATGCAACCACACGTGCGACTATTAAGCCTTACCTACCATTCAGCCTACACGCGTTGAGGCAGTGTAGCATACGGTAGACATCCCCCTATAGTAAACGCCCCCCCCCCATACATTGCGCACGGACATGGGCGTATCTCGCAGCGAACATGACGCATGCGCATGGGTGTTTTACATCTATTGCCCATGCGCAGTGTATTAGGGGGGACATTTGACATATGGGGGGATGTCTGCCTCGTGCTACACGTGCGTGTGTTTGCCATTACCGCGCATGTTTGTTTGTTGTTGTTACAGAGTCCTGTACTGAGAAAGACTGCTTTCTCATCAGCAAGGAATCCTTCAGCTAGTAGCCTTGTAAGTTCCCTCTAGTTCTCTCAAGTCCCTCAGGTCATCGCGATTCATAGGGTAGCCCTAGTTGCCAGTGCAAATTCCATATCGTGCTGACTCCCTAACGGCTTAATTTTCGATAAGGGTGGCTTGGGAAAATTTAGCTCCGTGCACAAACCCTTCCCTCTTTGGTCGTTTGGTGTGCTAGCCACCGACTTTTCTTTCCACGTTTTCTGTCGATTGCAATTTCTGTATCGATTTCTGATCAAACATAGACAGCTGGCAGACCGCAACAGTGAAATGTTGAAAGTGAAAGGATGTCCCTAAACTTGTACCCGAGAACCCATTTTCGTCTACTTGTTACTGATACGTTATAGTCTAAATGTAAACTAATACCGATATCCAAACACTTGTTTATATGTACGCATTGGCATTATACTAACTAACAGTTAGCATATATATGTGCTATCTGTGTAATTTTATAGAATTCTAATATTGTTGATGTTGTTGCTGTTACTATTACATGCAGCTGAGGAAGCATTTAGCCAAAGTTAAAGAGGACACTTCTTAGTTTTTACTATAGACCAATTTGTAATTAGTTAGTTAAAGGTAATGTATATATATTTCTTGCGTAATACATGTGTGCGCGTGTGTGAGAGAGTGCGCGCGTGCGTGCGTGTGTGTGCGCGTGCGTGCGTTCGTGCGTGCGTATGTGTAACGGACTGCATACATCAATATCTGAATGAATTAATATGTAAATGAATCAATATATTAATGATTCCATATGTAAATAAATCAATATCTGAATGAATCAATATCGCGGGTCGATTGCAATACATACATACATACATACTTGTGTCATGTCACCTTCACTGGAATTCGTGTTGGTTCGTACCGAGAAATATTGCAACGCAGTGTATGAATAAATGAATTACAATGGATAAATCGTCGTAATGGAGTACGACATTTTTCACGACATGTAACGTAAAGCTAGATGTTGATAACGCCAAGCCAACATAAGCCAACCGACATCATGCAGTATCACCATGCAGTATCACCATGCAGTATCACCATGCAGTATCATCATGCAGTATCACCATGCAGTATCACGGTTCATCACGCTCCACGTGTACCCTGAATGTTCGCGTATATAGCAAGCTGGTGTTATACGCGTTAGTACGTTGTACGTGTGCGTTTGTGTGTGTGTGTGTGTGTGTGTGCGTGTGCGTGCGCGTGCGTGCGTGCGTGCGTGCGTGTGCGTGTGCGTGTGTGTGTGTGTGTGTGTGTGTGTGTGTGTGTGTGCGTGCGTGCGTGAGTGTCTGCGTGGTGCGTGCGTGTGTACCACGCCACGTTTCCACGGATAGAGTAATATAACAAGTCCTCTCTATGACGGCATACTGTAACCACGTCACCTACGTCTGAATGCGTTTACGTCGCGCTTACAGGACGTAAAAGCTCAGCAGCAGACGACGACGACAGACGCTACAGCTACAGTACACGCTAAACGCAACGCAGCCTCCAATGTGAAACCTTCGCGCTTCGCCAACCTACAATCTGCTCCACCGAGACGACCCAGCATAATACTAGCCAAGACCACCAAGCCACCGTAAGTCTTCTCTCATAAGCCATTCATCATTACAAATGTATTAATATTATCACCCGTTCATTAATTAAATAATTAATTAATTAAATTGTGTAAATCTGTAATTACTGTGGTTTTTCACGCGGAATCAATACGACGAAGTCATCGTCTAAAATACTGAGTCCGTGTTCAATTAGTAATTAGTAACGCTAATTTTAAGTATTAAACTCTTACTAATTGGGAGGATTAGTTATCTTGCGCTTACGTTCATGTTTTAGTTGCTAGAGCGCGAAAATATAATTCCCTTCTGCTTCAGCGATAAAATCCGCGGTACGGATCGCTCGCCGAAACATGATGACGTCAGTCGACCAGGGTCACCCGAAAGTCTTACCAGTGACCTCATTGATCCGTCCACACTTTTCTGCTCCAATGACAGGGCTAAAAACGAGGCCTTCCTGCGCGGGTAGATGCACGCGACACCGACTTGTCGGTGTTTTTTTTTCACTCGACGTTGAACTTTGACCCCGATGTGTTTCAGTCCCGTGGAACGTGATAGTTTAGTCGTAAGCCTCCTGATTTAAACCCGGCTGGCTCGAGGTTAAATCGAAGCAAGGGAGCATCAGTGCCCTTAAAGCGATGCAGCTTCGATTTTCCCCGTGCTAGACTCATTGAAATTTAAGCGTAATAAGGGGTAGGGTTCTTGCCTGCAGACTGCTGTAAATAACATTTCAGATTTGTAACATTCCTCCCACATTTTCACTCTCTCGGGCAATGTCCATGTACCGCATATAGTACATTAATTCCAGAAACTTCTTCAGACCATTCTTGACAGATTTGCATGTGAAGTTATATTTGTTGAACGAAGCCACCGAGTTCACGTAGTTTAGGTAATAGCGTTGGGCAATAAACACCTATTATTATCATTAGCTACTTCCCATCGTGTAGCTATGCGCGATGAGCAAATATTGAGTTGAAATCATAGAAAGTTAACTAACTACATTGTACTTATATCATAAAACCGTCTGCTCAGATTCGAAGAAGGCATCAAAATCAGAGTGGAGAATGAATTAGCCAACATAAGAGATACGCAGCACACCGTACATGAAGTCATAGACCAGCTACGAGAAAAGGAATCCGACAGTGAAGATGAAATGTAAGTGGCTAGAATATCTGCGTTCAATAACACACCAGCAACACGGTAGTTATGTTTCAGCAGTATTGAACCCTCTAAGCGCGTCTACTTCTTAGATAGGTATTACAGCAAAGGTATTACCCCCATCAGCACTTTGATGATTCGCTTTCCTTACGCTTTTTGTTTCGACCTTGCGGATCACTTTTGCTGTTATTACTCTTCTGCTTAAACATTCTTCTCGATCGTCTTTCTCTCTCTCCATATAATATTTATATATATTATATATATTATATTATACTTATGGCTATTTTTTTTCTTTTCTCTCTCTCTCTCTCATATCTCTCCCTACCTCTCTTTATCTCTCTTTGACTATTGCGGAGGGATTCAGGCGAAGGGACGGCACGTTTCATGATGGCGCTCCCTTACCATACCTCTCCTCTACTTTCACTCTCTCTCTCTCTCTCTATCTCTCTCTCTCTCTTCTCTCTTCTCTCTCCTCTTCACTCTCTTCTTCATTTCTCTCTTCTCTTCTCTCTTCTTCTCTCTCTCTCCCCTTTCTTCTCTCTCTTCTCTCTCTCTCTCTCTCTCTTCTCTATCTCTCTCTCTATCTCTTTAGCTATCACCGCGCAATCTCTCACTCTTGCGCGCGTCTCTCTCATATCTCTCTCTCTTTCTCCGATCTCTCTCGCGACGTCTTCTCACTTTCGCGCCTCTCTTCTCTCTTCTCTGCTTTTCGATCTTCTCTCGCATAGCTCTCTCTCTCTCACTCTCTCGCTCTCTCGTCTCTCTAATCTCTCTCTCTCTCCTCTCTCTCTCCCTCGGTCTCTCTATTCACTCTCTCTCTCTCTCTTTTCTCTTAACGCTTCTGCCGAGGATTCAGCAGGCTATTGGATACACCGTCTTACGGGCGGGGATCTTTTGCCAGGCATCTCTTCTCTCTCACTTTCTTCTTTCTCTTCAGCCTCTTCTGCCAAGAATTTATGGCTACTATCCCTCGTTCGCCCATTTTTAACCAGACCCCTCTCTCCTTCTTCTTCAGCGTCTGACGGGGTTCCGCAGTTATGGTATATTTCTTTCTTCGCGCCCATTTAACTCTATTTACTCTCTCTCTCTCTTTCTCTCTTTCTCTCTTTCTCTTCTATCTCTTCTTATCCTTCTCTTCTCTCTCTCTCTTCTTCTCTTTCTCTTCAGACCATCTGCGAGGAGATTCAGCAGAGGTGATGTCTGCATTCTTGATCGCGACTCTCCTTACAGACCCTCTCTTCTCTATCACTTTCTTTTCTTTCAGACTCTGCAGAGAAATTCCATGCTCTACCCTGTTAACACTTTAACGTCGGACCCTCTCTTCTTCTTATTCAGCAATCTGCGAGAGATTCTAAGGCAAGAAGGTGATGGTGCCTTTGCGACGGACGGCGCATCACGCAGACGCTGCGATTCGTTGTCAGCGCATCCTGATTGCTGGCCGCCATCGCGTCGTTCGTCTCGTCTGAATCTACTCACACAGCGCTTGAAAGTACTTGCACGCAGCGGTTGTCAAGCGGGACTGGCCAGAGAGTACAGATAGTGAGTAGCGGGGGGGGCAAGACTGGTGCATTGCAGTGAGCTGTGGGGGACGATACAGCCAAGCCAGTGATCAGATGCAGCGTGAGAGCAGTCAGTGGATCAGTGTTCACGTGGAGAGCAAGTCACGTAGGAAACAGACACGGATGCACAGATCTGCATGGTAATGCAGTTGCAACCTTGCAAGACAGCAGAGAGCAGCAGGCCAGTGGATCAGAGCAAGCGCGGAAGACAATCCGACACTAGACATGACGCTGTGTGGGCATGGAGAGACAGCAAGCCATGTGAAGCGAGCCGCGGTAGGAGACACGTGAGACACCGAGGCAGAGAGCGCTAGCACGTGATGTAGACTGTAGACAGTTAGGCAGAGAGAGGCGAGTGCGGGGTAACACTGTGGGCGTTACTGAGGACACAACGCGTCACGTGGCATATGAGACCTGAGTACAGAGTTGATGGCGCGTGGCTACGGAGTGACCGCTTCATAGTTCTGACTCGTCATTCTATTCACGCCGTTTGCTGAGATCACTCTGCCATGACACTTGAAGTCTGCCTATTGATATAACAGTTAAGACAGTCATTTACCCACGCGTGCATAGCAGATCTTAGGACACACAGGTGGTAATAGGTACACGACAATCACATGCGGAAAGCATCAACACAGCACATTCAGCAGCAGCAGCATGTTGCTGTTAGTTAGTAGCAGCGAGCAGCAGCAGTTAACAACTAATAATATATTATATATAATAACAGTCAATAAAATTAAACGCTCAAGCATTTAGCAACAATAGACGCTACTGCGGATTTTCGACGATAGCTAGGTCTACAAAGAAGCAGCACGCGTGAACGCGAGATGAGATCAGACTGAACAGCCATAGTAGCAATTCCCTGTGAGAGCAACATCTCTTCGTAGACAAACATGGCGGCTACGGAAATCTTAAATACTACGACGAATGCGACAGATAATTAAAATTCTATTAAACTGCGGTTTGCAATCTAGTCTTTAAAATAGTGGGCTTTTATGTTCTGGGGCATTGTGTAATATTCCAACTGATGCTCTTGTCATGTTATTTTAATGATCTGGCGCGCGGGCGAAATCTTTGCGTTGATTTTCGTACGATAGTTTTGTTTAGTCACGCTCCACGTAACTGTCCAAATAGCCTACGCATGTAATAATATGGCCTAATATTATTCATTATATTTCAGCTTTTCTTTGTCGTGCCCTTGCCCGAGTAAGTACATGCTACTGGGCTGAGAATAACTGGCAGAATTGTTAGTTTTTACATTAAGTTCTAATTTGTGTTGTGCGCTGTCACAAACACCAATTCCTTGTTTGGGACACTGTGTAGCATTCAATAATCGCTGATGTCTTACAATAATACGTTTATGTATAATAGAGATCAGTTGTTCAATATCGTTCGCTAACATTCGGTCATTGTGTCATTGTATTATATAACTGTGGGTAGATGTTGAATACGAGCAGGTTATTTGCTGTGTATATATATTTATATACAATATATATAAGTGTATATTTTTATCACTTCGGTATATACATATAACCATAACTAATATAATATATCAGACAACGAGTCGTATTGACATTGTTTCTGGCCATGGCAGTACTCCGCTTGATCTCATTGCTAGTGGACGGGAAACGCGTTGACCGTTTCATATATTATCTGTATATTGTAATACCAGCAGTTAATCGGGCCACGACGTGCGATATCGTTAACTAATCTCTTGTTGTATTAAATAATGTTTTATGGCATATTATGTGTAATGACCTGTACACGCACGGTAATTCGTTTAATAATACTGGTATATAATATAATTGAGCGTATTCAAATGATCTTTTTTTTTGCTATTAAGTGATCACGAGTTACAGTTATCAGGCAGCTGACGCCATCTATTCAGAATCGTTTCCGTTAATTCGAATCTCTGTGTATATATATCAGGAGTTAGATGAATAGGGAAATATATTATTAACCTATTTAGGGCGATATGGGGATTCCCTTATTATTACTCTCTGATATATATAGCGAAAATTATTTATTATTTAGATTTACTAGTAGTATGCGCGTGTAGAGATTTTATCACGCGTTGCAACGTCGTAGCGCAGGTGTCGTCTTCAACATAGCCTTGTAGTATATAATCCGGAAGTACGGCGAATAGTGTTTCGGCTAAACTACAGCTCTCATCATGGTCGCTCGTCCTCACCGCGCTAGCTAGAGCTGTTTGTGTTCGGCTTTGCGCTTTAGGTGGCGCATGATGTCCGCCACTAACTTTGTTCTCGGTGCGGATCGCTGCTGCTGCGCCTGCGAATGTGTGATGAACGATAGAACTTGCAGAACATATATGAACGCGGCGTCTGTGGAATTATGGCACTAGGGAGGTTTGCCAATATGCGCACTCATGACGCGTGTGATATTGTATTGCGTCATCGCGGTAGGACGCATGCATGTGAAGGGAGGAAAGGGGCGCTTCCGATGTCAGGGCCTACACGCTGCGTCCACCTGCTGGTTAAATGGGCTCGTGTTTCGTCCTCACACTATGCGCAAGGCCGGAACAGGTGTAGCGGCCTGCCTGTTGGTTTGGCGCGCTCTGATCGCGGATTGGAGTGGATGACTGTGTAGATTGTTCATTGGCATCGTTTTCAAACGCATGTTCTGAGGTACTCGAGATTCAAGTGACGAGTAGAGAATGAACGATGAGAGTATGTAACACACGGATAGATCATGTACTAACTTGTCTAGCATTTTAAAAGCCAATTTCTTTCATGGATAAAGAGTTGTATATTGAGAAATGATGGTGGTGCGAAAGCGATGCGTGACTATTTTGCTGCTCGTTCCACAAATGTCACCATCTTCTTAACGAGAATATGGCGGCCGTGAGAAACACTTTCCTTAATTAAGAGGCCGTATTTTAATTAAGTGTTAATTATCATGGCTCCGATAGGACGTTCAAGCATTTGTGATAGTAGCAGCACTCGTACATATATCAAGTTTAAAACTATGCGTTTTGAAGTATGTTAAGTTGCCGGTAAGATGATCAATTGGTGGCAAACCAACTGAATATCGCGCCTAACATTGCCTATTCGACCTTCTAATATATGTACAATAAAATATTGTGCCGACCGAACTACTTTATGACAAATATTACGTCGTCTGCAATATCAGTTTCAGTTTGCATTATAGCTGGTGGCATCGCTCTAAAGTTAGCATAATTGCTTTAACATTTAGGCACTTAGCGACTCGCGTTATGTCTTCGCTCTTATCAATAACCTTAAGTTATCAGATTCTTACTAGCAAACGATGAGTGAAAGTTTTCAGTGGAACTCGTAGTGTAACTCGCGTGGTCTTTTCATTATGTATGAATGTCGTGTGTCAGAAATTGGAGCGCCTGGCAGCTAATATTAAATTACATTACGCCCGCTCACCCGCGAGAATTTGCAGCCGTTTATAAAGGACCACTTTCTCATCAATCTATGTCGAGTCGACTAGGTGATTTTCTTGTAATGACGATTCGAGTTATAGTGTCACGCTTGATCGATATATGAATGTATCATGTGGTATCGTTTCAATTGTGATAACATAATTGTTCTATCATTTCGTAGTGTAATTATTGTTCTCGATTTTGTTTATCTAGCTCAATGATTATCTGTATTCTTGCTTAACTATTAAACAAAAGTTATATCAAATGGAAAACTTTCCTCTTTGATCAGTGTTTACGTATTTTACTTGCCAGTTCAATGGAGTTTCATGTGACGACGTGGCTACCCAACATGGTACATTAGCAATTGATTATAATTGCAAATTTCAAATTAGTTTTAATTGCTCTGCTGGGTTTAATCGGATGTACATCTCCATTTAAAATGTTACTTTTTTTCTCTAAAACAAATAGCGCGGACATTATATCAAGCTGCAAAAGATTTGCACCTCTACACGCACGCAGCGCACTTCACGCACGCCAAAAAATAAACGCACACGCACGTACATTACACACGCCTTGCGCACCCGCTATGGCAACTCATTCACGCAACGTTTTAACACACAGAGGACATGCTCACGGTGTGTACGAAGAAATAGGACATAGTTCCTTTTTATAGACGTCTCTACAGCGGGGACTGAATTCACACGTTAATATAAATCGAATGCTAGTAAACCACGTCCTAAACCAGCATAAGATTTTATATAAAGTGCTGAACATTTGGACAAACGTGCGATACAGTCGTCGTTTTCCCATGCACGAGTAACTCACCCACAGATGCAAGTAGTTCAGACCATCGGGCCAGTTGTGTATACTTAAGGTTACTGGACTGCCTGCTATTGTGTTGATGGATACAAATGTCGCTAACACCAGTGACTATCGTGCTTCCACTAACATTCGTGTTTTGAATTCTATTCACGTACACATTTCTCCAATTGCTACAACGAGCAAGCTAGTAATGGTTACGTTACGGTGCAGGCAGTGTCGTTGACTGATTGTGTCGTTTCGCGACAGCTCATGGTAAATTACGTGTAGTTCAGGTAGTTGCTATTGACCAAGTTGGATGCACGCAGACAGTTACGTGAATGCTTCATTCGTGTGCCATGACGAAGCGGTAGTTGCAGTTAAAAATCAGGTAGTTATGTTCACAGCTCGTGCGCTTGCATGATTAACGCATGTGTTTTACATGTAGAGGCAGACTAATTCGTTACACGATCAGGTGTTACGTGAACTCAAGGTAGTTTGCATGAAGCTCTGTTGTTACGTGAACATATCAATGTTGTTTGCTGAAACCAGGTATGTTAGTTAACCTGACATTATCAGCGTATGTGCGCGTAATGTGTGGAATGTGTGTGCGTGTGTGCGGCGCGTTGTCGTGTGTGTTGTGTGTGTGTGTGTGTTGTGTGTGTGTGCTGTGGTGTGTGTATGTGTTGTTTTGTGTGTTTGTTATGAGAAATGTGCTGCGCTGCGCGTGCTGTTGTGCGGGTGTGAGTGTGACGTTGCATGTGTGTGCATTGTAATATATAGATATGCAGATAGGATATACAGTGTTTGTTCTTTAATTAATGTTTAGTAATGTTGTACTTTTTATGTCAATGTGCTACAGCTACTTACTATGCTTACTCGTCATTATGATTCTGTGTAACGAGTATAATTAGTCGAGCTTCATATGCCTACTTTTGAAAACTGTTTATGCCATTTACCTGTTTATGTACATCATCTGAACATGGTTCCATTCACTAGTTGTTTGTAGATATATTCTGTTAACGATATATTAATGTAAATGC